GAGCGGTTGCTATCGATGATGGCTGCGCGAGGTAGGTGTCCCCCTGATGCGGACGATAGCGGCGACAGTGACAACGCAGGTAGCAGCACACGCTTCCCTAGTGATTGCAGCCGATGTACGATTCGTGTCTCCAATCGCAGCGAGGATCCATGATGGGAACAACCCCACTAATGCGGGGGGGAAGCTTATCTCTTCCGCCAGGAAGAACCTCGCGAATATCTAGCGGTCGAGGTAGACTTCACGGACAAAGGGGCGTCGTCAGGGAGAAACGCGACATAGAGAACCGCGACCGCGATACCACAGTGTAACACGCGGATATTTCATGTGTGGTTGGCTACTAATACGTATAAAAAAAAAAGGGACTCTCACGCAGCATCCCATTCACGCAAGCGTTCATACCAGTAAGCTAAAGGCTACCTAAGGCTACCTAATAAGGCTGGCTAAGCCTACCTATAGGCTTGCGAATATATACCCACTCGCGAGAGCGTGTGTCGCGGTGTCTCCTCTCTCATCTTACCTTTCCCTCGCGGATCAATCGACCGCCCGTCACGTTTACCGCCTCGATCGCCGGGGCTCGTTCGACCACTCTGTTCAACAGATTCTGAGAACCAACGGTGAGAATGTATGTAGAGGTATCGATGAGATTACGGTAAAACTTGGATTAGTATCCCGAAAATTGAGACTGGAGCCCTCATGAGCACTACTCCAAGTTTTATTGTATGAAAAGCTAATTGTTCCGGCGAACGAAACAAACAATTATTACCTTCGCGTTCTCCACCTCGAGTTTACCATACGATTCGTCGACGAAATCGACCTCGTTACGATAAGCGTGTTCCATTTGCTGGGCTAAACTGTAGGCCGCTTCCGCGCCTCGAACCCTGTCCACCAATTGACCGCACACGTTCGTCCATCTGACGTTCAGTCGATTCACTTCAGCGTCCAATCGGTCCATGTCGGTGTGAGGACCGCGATGACTCGGTCGTGACTTCTCGACCAAACGTCTCGCGCTGTGAGCGTCCTCGTTCAGCTGATCCATCGCGCTCTGTTGCTGCGAGATAGCGTTCTGGAGTACCCTGAGATCCTCCAGGACGTTCTGCAATCCCTTGATGTCGGACGGTAGCTCGTCGAACGACGCCAATTTCACCTCGAACTCGGAGATCACGTTGGTGTTCTCCTCCAGACTAGAGAGCAGGATCTCGACGCACTTCAGTCGTTCGATGTAAAGATTACTAGCGTTCCAGATATGGTTCCATTTAGTGGTAACGGCGTCCAGTTTGTTTCTCATCGCGGGTGTCTTCAGGGTGATGCCACGGAAGGTTTGCTGAACTCGATCGAGATCCGGCGCCAGACGACGAAGGCTCTGCTCGTAGTCCTTGTGCTGCAGCACCAGGTGTTCCAAACTGTCTAGATCTCTGGGCAACGGGGCCGCTATACGGGTGTTTAAAATCCTTTCAGCCTCGTCGAGGGCCTGCTGAAGGGCCAATACTTGCTCGTTGAATATACGTCCCGCGTTCTTCGATTCTTCCTCCGCTCTGGCCCGTTTCTCCAGTTCGTCGAACAGCTTGTTCACCTCGGCCATTTCGCGTTTCAATCGTCTCAATTGCGGATCAGCCGGGTCGCCCTCGGACAACAGTTTCTCGGCGTCCTCGTTCAAGGCTTTCCTGATGGCGGTTCGTTGATCCTGGCCCATCGCCAAGAACTGCGGCAGATCCCAACCCTTCACCACCTTGATGGTAGCGAATATCATGTTCTGTCGGAGTCGCAGCTGCTTACGCTGCCAGAGCGCGACACTTCTGTCGTACTGACGTCGCAGCCTCTCGGCCGCGTCCAGGGCTTCCTTGTCCGGCGGTTGAAGAGCGAAACAGACACCTGGCACCGGTGACTCGACGCCCTCTTGGTTCTTGACCCGCCACTTTATCCGTCCGGAGTTGTCGTACAGCGTGCATTGTTCCCCCTTCTCGATCGACATCTGTAAATAACAGGCCCCACCCAACCAATTCATTTGTGTTCTTTGGACAATCAACGTGGACGGTATAGGAGAAAGCGATTATCATTGTCACTCGACTCACGTTCACTTGCTTGTAACTGCACACACAGGTGACCTGCATCGGTCGCGTCACGGGCTGTCGACGCTGCTTCATGGGCACGACGTCCTTCGCCTGTTCCACCAGCTTCTGCACGTGATCGCCGTAGCTGTTCAATTCTTCCCGGAGCTCCTGCATACCTTTCAGGAGACGTTCTCCCTCATCCAACGAGAAATCAGACTGGGAATAGATGGTGTTCAACGTCTCGTCTCTCTTCGAGATCCACTGTTCCGCTTGCTGGATCTCACGGAAGAACTGCTGACTCTGTGCCGCGTGTTTCAGGTGCACCTCCAAGCAGAGGGTCAACTGAAGCAGCCACGCCCATTGGCTCTGCATCGCGGACATGTACGCCTCGATCGTCTTCGCGGCCGGATGATGCTGGAGAACCAAGGCTTCACCGCGATCCTGAACCGCGGAGAACTGGATCTCTCGTTTCTCCAAGTCACTCATGAGGGACTGAAAATTCGTTTTTAATTAAAGATTAAACATTGTTTATCCAGTTTGCAAACACTCCTTAGCTACCAGTATTCTTGCATGAACATAGTCTCTATTACCTCTAGGCCTGATCCGTATGTTCGCTTGGAAAACAGGGAAAGCGTTAACCATAATCTTTAATATACAGGTATACGCAAGCTTAAGGCAATGAAAGACTTTAGGATATCTTAAACAGAAGATCCAAATACCTCGTAATACTGCTCGATAGTCTGCACGTTTAAGTTCTTGTCGCTCCAGTCTCTGGTCACCTCTGTTTCCTCCTTGGAGCTCAACCATACCAGTTCGCCGGTGGCGGACTGAATGAAATCGTGCAACGTGTCCAAATCGGAGAGCCTCTTGTTCGAGGAGGACAGCAATTCGGCGTAAAGCTTTTGCAGAACGACGAGATGCTGACTGTACAATGTTAGTTCTTCACCGTGGAAGTGGTTCTTGGACTGCACGCATCGGTCGACTTTTGGATGGAACTGCTCGATGTTCTTGTGCTCACGCTGATGATTGTCCAGCTCGTTCTGAACGCTGGGCAAGTCGGAGCCGTAGTCTGCGTCCTGTAGCTGCTTGATTTTCGCCTTGCACCAGTCGATGCAATCGTGCAGCGCACGGAAATGGGGATTGGTGTCTACTAGTCGGGTTTCATGGACGGTTGTGCGATGCTTCGTGACGACGCGTTCCTCTACCGGGAAGGACACGGCCGCCAGGGGCTGTACCAATCGTTTGTGAAGAAGAGATCGCAGGGCGACCCACCGTTGATGTAGCTTCTGAACCCTGAAACGCGAGAATGAGTTTAATGCCGACAGCACGTCAACTTAGTAGTAATCAGTCTTGACCTGACTAGCATCAGATGACTATTATACCTTTTATGGAGCTCGGCAGCTTGACTGTATCTCCCTTCGGTAAGAGTGTGCACGTCCGTGAAGATATTCTGAATCTGTATTTCGGTATTTCGTATGTCCTGTTCGAGAAGGTCCCCGGCGTGTTTCGCCTCGAGGGGATGAAGACGATCGAGGCGTCTCGCTTCGTCCTCGACGCGTCTCTCGAGCTCCTCTAATCGATTGTCGGTCGTCTTCATCTCCCTGTGAACTTTCTCGGCCAGTCGTTGGAGTCGTTCGAGTCTACGGATGAAAAAGTCAAGAGCATACAAAATTGTGAAAGGAAATATATAACCTGGGTACCCGGTTGAACCGGAAGAAGAATCTTACCGTTTGATTTCGTCGATGATCGCCTGTTCTCTCTCCTGGTGCAGCATTATCAGACGATTCCAATTCTTCTCGATCACATCGATGTGTAATTCCGGCTCCATGTCCACCTCGCCGACCGCCTCGAAGTATTTCTGTAGATCCCGGAATATATAAGCGAGCCGCTGCTTGTCTCGGTATCGAGGCGGCACCTCCTCGTTCTTGAATTTCGTGCTGTCGGCGGCCAGTTTCTTCATCTCGATTAAAGTCGGCGGGAACGCACGTTCCTGCATCAGGCTCATTTTCTCGCGTATCCACAAATGTAAGGAACTAGCGAGCTCTCTGTACTCCGCCGATCGTCTCTGCGCCTCTGCGTCGTAGAGCGGATGGATTGCCGGCGGCTCCGGGAACACGTCGTAGAGCGAAGAGATGTACGTTATCAAGGACTTCTCGTCCGGTTCAGGAGTGTCCACGTCTGTAGAAATAAAACACAACACGTGTAAAATGAAGCCACAAGACTTAAACCGTCTCCTCGATAAGTATACAGGGTGTTCCATTTTAATCTCCCAGGGCAAATATCTCGAAAAATACAAATGATATTGAAAAATGGTTTAGGTAGAAGTTGTATTGTTTCGTAGGAGAAACATTATGCTGGAATTTATTTGACCTTGCGATGACCTTGGAAAAGCCTACGAAAGTCAACTTTGAATTTTTAAATTGGAACTCATATCTTTTATCACATATTATTATTGATGGCATCGAAACATTTTCGAAACGATCTTTTCAAAGTTAACGTCAGAACGACCGTGATTTCTCCTGAATTTACCCTGCAGCTTCTCGGTCGATTGACGGCCGGAAAAGGAAAAGTGGACCGTGGAGCCGAGGCGTCACGGTCCAAGCGACAACCGGAAACGGTCGAAGGAGCAACGAGACGTTGTCCGACCGTCCCCCGTGTGTACACAGGAGAAAAACACCCGGGTGTAGAGAAAAGAAACCGGCGAACGGTCGAGAAAACGCCGACAGGAGAAACTCGAGCCAGGTGATGGGGGAATGCCTTTTTATCGATCGACGGAATAATTACCTTCGGGATCGAGAAGCCTCGTAACGCCATACTCGCGCTCCGCGACGTGGAAGACCCGGTCGAGCCGCTCCCGCGGCTGACAGGAACGTGCGCCCCGCCAATCGACCAGGTCCGGCCTGTTTCGGTGTATCAGGGCGCTGAACGCCAGACCGTCCCTCCATGATCCGGTGAAGTCCGTCACGCGTACACCAGGATAACGCGCGGTCGATCGTCTCGCCCATCGCAGTAGGGCCTCGCGGGCAGTCACGTTCGGTTCTTGACCCACCACTATATCGGATATCTGTAGGAAAAAACGAATAGAAACAGATCCATTAAATACAGGTGATCCCTAATGTAGCCTCGTCTAAACTACTGTATCCTCTAATTCTGGTGTGTGCATAGGCCTCGACGTGTCGTTTCCGCTTGGTTCGCCCTTCGAGATTCCTTTCTCGCGATCACAATCCCCGAAATTTCTGATGACCACAGGTCGAAAGACATTGTAAACCCAGGGGGGTTGACTTTGGTCTAAGTTAGTTTCGACCTTTTGCGATCACAACCCCCGAATCGTCACCAAAATTTCTGATTCACCACAGTTCGAAAGGAATCGTAAACCCCGAGGGGGTTAACAAAATTTTCTAATAACCACTACGAATCGTAAATCCAAGGGGAAACTCTCGTACCTAGTTAGTTTCGAGATTCCTCTCTCGCGACCACACAAAACACCCCTGGTAACCATAGTTCGAAAGGGATCGTAAACACAGAACTCTGGTCCACCGAGAAAGTGGACAAGAATGCGCTTCAGGGGAACAGTTTCGCCGGGATGGAACGCTTACCCGAACGGTTTTCGGTTTTGGTGAAGCCTGTCGACTCAGGGAGAAGGAAGTGGAGGAAGCTGCGGCGGTGGTCTCCTGCAGATAGCCGGAAGTACCGCGTTTCGTCAGATCCTCGGCGACGCATCGTTCCTCGCCACGTGTCAACGTGGTCGTTTTACGAACGATCCGTGTCACGATACGTTTCGTGCCGTTCTCGCCGTGTCTCGATGTCTTCGTAGACTCGATCGACGATCCTAAACCGTGTCCCGTTATCAATGCGACCACGCTTCTCTTGATAACACGCTCTCGAAATTACCCAAACGTAATTCCCGTTTGAAATTCGCGGGCACCGAGAAACACACGCACACAGAATCTTGGCGATCAGACCGGATGATTTGAAAATCGCGTCACGATCGACAGTCGTCTAGTCTTGGCTTGGCTCCAAGCGATCGAAGCCGATCGTGCAGCGAATCCTCCGTCCCATTGGGTTCACATATCTGTACGCGTGGACTTATGGCGGTTAATTTTCGTCGTAGCACGATAAGATAAGCAACAACACGACAGTGAATCGTAGAGAGTATTACGCACGATATTATGAAAGGGAGAGCCTTATCGTGAGTGCAGATAAGTTTTTCTCGAATCAAAATTTTACGAATTAGAGATGTTCGATTCCACAGAATCGACTCAGAATCGAGAATATCCTTTTTTTTCGGAGAATCTCCATGTAAATATTTAGTTGCAATTTTGGAATGATGCTTGAACGAAAGAAAAACTAAGCGTACACATACGTGCCAGTATCCCTGAAGAGGTAGATTATCAGACCTGGTCCCATACTTTTCTAGTCGTGTAGTATATCAGTCATGTATGACAGTGACGTATTACCCAATAGAATTGTCAGAATCGAACATCCCTAACACGGGGACCCAATCGAGATCGTTAAAATTCCAGTCAGATCGCGTCGATACTTCAAGAATAACGTTTCAAGATACTCGGTGCCCATATCAGCCCCCTTTTCGTCATCAAGATTTCATCCTACCTAGAACCTCGGTAGAGAGTCTCCGTTTCGTATAGATCGCCGTCAGATCGTCGGCGACCGGTGTCGTCGCCGATGCGGGGCTAGTGACCACGGTCTCGCGAGGGTCATCCTCCCTGGTGCCCTGCACGAACAACCGGCCACCTTTGCTAAACCGATACATCGACATCCCGATGTGAAACGAACGTGGTCGTTGATTCCGTCGCGATGAAAACGATCACCACGCGACCGCGAAGCTAACATCGACCTCTTGGAAAAAAGGCGAACAGCCCATGTACAGCTCACATTCGCCAGGCCTTATCCGGGCGCTTTGGACTCTCTCGTTGTGTGCGCGCTGCTCGACGCGTGAAAGCCGATTATCGGGAATCGACCGGTCCGCTAGGTCCAACTTAAGACACACGGAGTCAAGAAGACGGTGAACGCAAGCACGTCTGCCCCGTTAATTCGTCCGTAGATTCTTATCGTCGAGAGGTGTTCGCCCCGTACGGGACCACGATCGCGATCTTCTCAACGATGGAGGAGTCTCGAGATCGTTCTGAACCGTAGAATCTCGCGATTTCCCGCACCGTGGTTTTTTAACGCACTCCTACAAACGACGAATGGTGGGAGAGGACACGATCGTGGGGTGGGGGAAGCAGTTTAACACTTCGAGAAACACAGCCCAACGTCGCGTCGGGACAGTGTGTTGTTCAACGAACCGAGCAGCCGGCTTGTCGAACAAACGACAAAATAGAGACTAGAGGAGTGGGGGTGGAGGAGAAAAGGTCGACGAAACGTGTCGAACATACAGGACAGGACGATAACGCGCGTGGAATTTGGTCGTTATCGGAGACACTCGGTAGAAGGGGGGCCACCTCAGGCGCGTATCGCGAACCGACTGCACTAACAGGTAGCACCGGGCGAGAACTCTCCTGATCTCCACACTGTGTGCCCGCGTTCTTTCCGTGCTTCTTTACGTTCGTTCTGTTCCGTTCGCCAGCACACGTTTCACCGGTATGGTTTCACGACCGCGTTCAAACGACACGTGCCCCTCTCTTTCTCTCTGTGTGTCCGTTCAGTGGCTTACAAATGTGTCCGGTAAGACAACAACGTGGCGCGTTAGTCGGACTAGAGGTAGGTATTATTTATTTTTTTTTCTTTCGAACAGACGATGAAACGTCGCGATTCACCGACCGAACCGACACACAACACAGCGTGGCTGCCGAGCCGCGTTGTATCCGGCTGCCGTCGCGAGAGTAGGCCAACGAAATGCGCACAGGTGAGAGACGCCTCCGACAGGGCCCCCCTCTTAACTCCCCACTCTCTGGTTCTCTCTGTCTTTCTTTCTTTCCCACTTTTTCCACCTCCTCTTCCTCCTCCACATTCCCCCGTGTGCCTGTCATACCGTGTTGCCTGCTCTTCTCCATCCTGCCCACCCTTGCACACACACACACACGACCGAACGACTACGTCACCTATCTTTCCTTCGTTTCCGCGAGGCAGCACCCCCTTCCCCTCCGTGTGTTCGTCGTCCTCGTGGACGTCCTAGTCATCCTCCATGATTCGTGTCCTCTCCCCGCCTATGATCGTAGCTGTTTGTCGCGCGATCGGCACGCAAGAAATCGCGCATGCGCGATATATCGTTCGAGTCATCGAGAACCCAACTCTCGAGCAAGAGAGCCCCACTTTGCTGCGCTGACGGACGCGCTTCGTTCGTCGCGCATCGCGTCCTTCCTCCTTTTCCTTTTCCAGAGAGATTCGACCGCCGATTCACCGTGGCACAATAACGCTCCGTAAGCAACGCCTTCGACGAGCCCGAACTGAGCGCGGCTCGGACTTACCTAATTCGTGCGCGGCTCGTTAATTAATACGCGCTTCTGTCGAGGCCGCGGACGAACAGGAGAAACACAACAGAGGGAAACGATTCGTTTGCGCGCAGAAAACATCAGAGTAGGAGAAGAAGATGGGGGGAAAAGAGGGAACGAAAACAATGCCTAAATAAGCGCGAACGACGACGCTGGAACAAGACGAGGCGAAAATAGGACGCTCCGCGAGTCGCGTATGTAACGTAGTGTCCCTGAGCCTCGTCGCGAGAACTTCGCGAAGGAAAGACAGCAGATGGAGAGAGACAGAGAATGAGAAAAAGAATGGAGGAGCGGATAACCGTCGGGAGAGACTCGCGAGGCAACTCGGGACCGGATGTGACGTCATCGTCGCTCCAGCGGCGGCCGCTCGGTCGAGAGCGCCGAGACCGCTTCCGGTATACGCGTCCATCCGCGTGGAATCGATCGCGTGAACAAGATCGTCCGTGACCGTGGTGGTGGTCGTTTCGAGAAATACCACAATTCTGCCGGTGATTATGAAAATTTGGTATATGTGAACAATCGAAAGGGAATTGAAAGGATTTTTGAAGAATATTTTATTGATTCATAATCCTTAGACTGCGGGTTGTATGCGTTTATAGCGTGTGGGACTATGTGAATATGACAAATGGTAAAGCTAGCTTCAGATGTAATACATTTTCTGTCTTCTTCTTGTCTTAAATCGTTACTTCAAAATTATAACACTGGACGTTAAAGGGTTAAGTGAACAAAAATTCAAATTTCACATCAACCTTTACAAATCATTTGGAAAAATGTTATTTTGCGTAAAGTTCTACAGTCTACTAGTCACCGACACAATTATCCTCGTCCCCTACTTTTTCGTTTCCGGTTCGAAAGAATGATTTCGACAAATTGCTCCTTCGAGGCCCCCGTGCTAAGTGGATCTACTACCCGTCGTAGATTGTACACAAACATTTCCCCTTGTACGACTATTTTGGGACCGACTGTACAATCAACACAAAGAGAGACACGGAGAAATGGACTCGTGTGGCTCCCGTTTCAGACTGAACGCGGTATTTACACTTGTACCCCTCTCGGAAACGAACACACCCGCCATTAAAACAAACGTTTTGTTTGCTTTCGAACGCGGGCAGGCTCATGAGCACGCGCGCGCAAAAGTGCCCTTTTATGTTTTGTTTCGTCTCCCGCGCGAAGCGAGGCTTGAACCCTTGCAGTCTCGGTTGGCCGGTGTCATGAACGTGAGGTTCCCTTAACCCTTTTGGCCCCGAAACACACACGCAGTCCCATAGGAAGGTTTCAGCTGCGATTCACGAGATATTCGAATAGCTTCTCTACGCAACAATTGAATTTTACCGCCCAATTCCCAAATACTGTGACGAAGACCAAACCATCGATTAAGCCTTTAACGCACAATGTTGCACTGGTGCATCGGATAGAAAACACAACTTTTCGATGACAGGTCCAACAATTTTCGAAAGTTCACGACGCATTTACCCAGGCGTTGGTCACCGGCAAAAGGGTTTAATTTTCGTTCTCGTCGAGCGGGTTCCTCGAAAGGTGCTGAAAAAAGGTCGGTGTTGCCAACGACCTTGCCCGTCGGTGGCGTCATTCACCGTTTTCGTATTCGATACTCGGATCGGCCGATTCCGATTATCATAATTACAAGGTGGGCGGCTCACGGAATCACGAGACGCGGCCCGGGACACCGATACGGCTCCGTATCGCGACCGTCACACCTCCCACGCTCCCCCCCACCTTCCTAAGAATACCATCATCCGGCGCCGCGGTTTTCGTTCGGTTGTCAGAGAGCCTTCCGCCTTGCCTCGCCCTGGGACGCGTTCGGTACACCACGAAATACCATAAACGGTAACGTCGATCGCGATCCACAGACGGAAGGACACTCGTCACCGCCGGCGACGAAACGCTACGCCGCGGGATCGCATAGATCAAAACAGATTACGAGAACGGGAGCGCCGCGACTTGATTTAGGGATGTTCGATTCCGATTCGATTCTTCAGACAGTCAATTTTGTGTGGGTAACACGTCACTGGTATGTATAACGCATACACTGATGGCAAGAAATATAGAACGAGATCAGATAATTGACACTGAAACTCTACCGGATCCGTCAAAATGACGGAATTCAGATTTGTGTTGTTACGATTACTGAAATTATTAAGGTGCTTTTGTGGGTTTTTAGATCGATCTTTAATTTATTAGATGTTTCTCGTTACACTTTATTACGCTATGCTGTATTATACAGGGTGTCTCATTTTATTCTCCCAAGGCAAATATCTCGAAAATGGGAATTCATGATTCGAGTACGGGTTATGTTAAAATTGCGTTGAGGTAGCGTTTCGAAAACGTTTCGATGCCAGGAATCATAATATGCAATAAGAAATATAGGTTCCAGTTAATTAACAAGTTACTGTACCATCAACCATGAACTCTGGTCCCATATTGTTGGTCGTTAGTCTATGTGTTGTATATACTGCAGTTAACGTATTATCCAAGAGAATCGATCCTCGATTCTGAAGAATCAAATCGGAATTGAACATCCTTAGCTCAATTCGAGGAGGGATTGTGTATACTGATGAGTTTCCGTGTGTGGGACGACGAATCGTTACCGTGGGACCTTGTACAGTGGGTGATCAAATTATTATAAACACGTCAACGGTACTATCAACGGTAGCATAATTTAATAGCTTGTTATTGTACAAATATATGTCTTACTGTACACTGATTACTAAACATACCAAAATATAAGAAAATAGAAAACAAAGAAAGGGTATACTGCATCATTAATGAAGTCATAATAACACCGACAACATAAAATAAGTAATTTCTCCATCTTCGTTCGTAATAATTTGATCACCCACTGTATATATAACCGCGAACGCCATCTACCGGTGCCGATTGGATTCACGCGGTCGATAAAAGATCCAGCGGCTATCCGTCGTCGTCGTCCTTTCTACGACACGCACACAGCTTTTTCGAATTTTCGTTTGTTTGTTTCATTGGGGAAGCACTACGGCATAAAAATGTAGGGAACTTACCTTGCGTCGCCAGCTCTGCGGCGCGAAACAAAACAAAAAATACATCATTAGACAGATGCGTCGGAGTCGGTGGATTACAGGGTCTGGAGTAATCGATGATGCGATCGAGAGAACGGTGATTCTTTGGTCGCAAAATTAATAGATATATTCCACCAAATTTGAACTTGTATCGTGGGAAACTTTTTAATTGGAAAAAAACCATAATCATACTTCCACGACTTGCAAATTACCGTACGCACAATCTACCGTTACCATAAATAACCGTACTATCAGAATTTATTGAGACTTCAAGGCTGCTTACAAATATAATAAGCAAAAGAAAATTATAAGA